AGTGAGGAAGGGTCAGGGGTCAGTGGGAATAGGGGTCAGTCTCAGTGGGGATAGCGGTCAGCGGTCACTCTCAGTGGAGAGAGGACTCACCTCTGCAGGCTGCGCACAAACTTGGTGGCCGACTGGAAGAGGTGCTTGAGGCTGCGAGACACAGACAGCTTCTTGCTGGGGGTGTGAACCCTGGACGTCTCTGCAGGCAGAGGGACAGTGTGTGAGTGAGTGTGAGTGTGTGTGTCTGTGCACGAGTGTGTGTGTAAGGGAATGTGAGCAGGTGTGTAGATGTGTGCATGCGTGTGTGTATTCGAGTATATGAGCATGCGTGTGGGTGTGTGTAAGCCTGTGTATAAAGCGTGTGTAAGTGTAACCGTGTGTGAAAGCATGTGTAAGCATGTGCCAGCCCAGTGTCACCTATGAAGTAGCCCCGGTACTGCGGGTCCTGGATCTGCTCCAGCAGTTTCCCGACTCCGGCCGCCTGCTCCCGGCTCCTCTGCTTCACACCACAGCACTGCGTCCAGCCTGTAGGGGGCGACAGAGCACAGCATGCTTACGACATGCACACTGTTGCTGGGGTTCCTGCAATACTAATAAACCGACAGGGCCCTCACTCACAGCAGGGATAGAGTGCTGAGTCCCTGTCATGTTATCACAGACCCTACAATATCAATACAGTTCAGTGTCCCTGTAACTGTAACAGATCAATGGAGTGATTGGCAATATGGAGCCTCTGTTCTTTTTGAGGGATCCCCTCTCAGTTTAAATTTCAGATAAAAAATCAATCAATTACAACAGCCTTGCAGTGTTCTGAAAATCAGGTTTCTAAGATGTACGGTATCTGACCATATCTTGATCAGGCTCAGTCTCAGAGGCAGCCTGCACTTCCTGGTACTCACTGGAGGGGGCAGCACTGGGGGGGCTGGAGCTCTGAGCTGGACCATATCCCTTCACATTGTAGGCCGACACCCTGACGAAGTACAGTCCTCCCTGGAACACACAGACACACACAGTGACGCACACACAGAGGCACACACATGCACAGACAGACACACTGACTGGACACTCAGTCCCAGCTGTGGTCAGTCCCGTGATACTGACTGGACTCTCACAGTCCCAGTCACAGTGTCTTACTGTGGTCAGACCAGTGATACTGACTGGACTCTCACAG